TTTTGAAGAAAAAAACCTGTCACAATTTTCACTATACGTCGAAATTTACACCCCTATTCCGCTAGTATTATTTCTAAACTGAAGAAACACAATAATTTGACCAGAAAAAACAAATACAAACAGTTAATCATTAATAAAAAGAAGAAGACCGAATACGTCGCACAGTCAATACTCAAGAAGACTGCTCTCTCTGCTATCTTCCTTCCCCTCATCTTTCCAAGCTTACCCAGTCAGTCAATGGCCGCCCTTCTCTCTCCTCTTCTTCTTCTTCTTCTTCTTCTTCTTCTTCCATATCCATCTCTCTCCTCCTAACCCGAATCTCCTCCTTCCCCTTCCTCCATTTCCCCACCACCGTCCCCCAACCCGAAACGGAAATCCAATCAACAGAAACCAGACGACGGAGATGGACACAGACGCCAGGATCTGCTCCCTTCTCCTGCTGAGTTCCGTATTCTTATTCTCCATCCTCTCCCTTCTTCCCCTCTCCACCGCCATTGAGGACGACTTGATGTGCCTGGAAGGCGTCAAGAAGGCTCTGGACCCGCAAGGCCGGCTCTCCACCTGGAACCTCAACAACAACTCCGTCGCCGCCGTCTGCAAGCTCGACGGCGTCTCCTGCTGGAACGAGAAGGAGACGCGAATCATCAGCCTCCAGCTCCCTGATTTCCAGCTCTCCGGTCAACTCCCGGAGTCTCTCAAGTACTGCCGCAGCCTCCAGGTCCTGGATCTCTCCAACAACGACCTCTCCGGTTCCCTCCCTCCCCAAATCTGCAACTGGCTGCCGTACATCGTCACTCTGGATCTCTCCGGCAACTCCATCTCCGGCTCCCTCCCTCCGGAGATGGTCAACTGTAAGTTCCTCAACAACCTCTACCTCAACGGCAACAGGATGTCCGGTTCGATACCTTACGGCCTCGGCCGTCTGGACCGGCTGAAGATGTTCTCCGTCGCGGATAACGACCTCTCCGGCTCGGTCCCGTCGGATTTGGCCACTTTCCCCGAGGCCGACTTTGACGGCAACGGCAAGCTCTGCGGCCGGCCGCTGGGGAAGTGTGGCGGATTGAGCGGCAAGAGCCTGGCGATCATAATTGCCGCCGGAGTGATCGGAGCCCTCGGCTCTTTGATTCTAGGGTTTGCAATTTGGTGGTGGCTGTTCGGCAAGAGGGCGGCGGCTGCGGGCACTCGGAAAGACGATTCGAGCTGGATCGATTTGCTCCGGTCGCGTAAACTCGTCCAGGTTTCCCTCTTCCAGAAACCAATCCACAAGATGAAGCTCTCCGATTTGCTTGTGGCCACCAACCATTTCGAGTTCGAGAACATTATCATTTCCACTAGAACGGGGGTTTCTTACAAGGCTGTGCTGCCTGATGGGTCTGCCCTCGCCGTTAAGAGACTCAGCGGCTCCAAGCTCGGGGAGAAGCAATTTAGGTCGGAGATGAACCGGTTAGGACAGCTGAGGCATCCCAATCTTGTGCCATTGCTGGGGTTCTGTGCGGTGGAGGAAGAGAGATTGCTGGTGTACAAACACATGCCTGGTGGGACTCTGTACTCTCAGCTGCACGGGACTGGTTTTGGGATTGGTCAGGGATGTTCACTCGATTGGCCGACCAGGGTAAGGATCGGGGTTGGTGCGGCCAGAGGGCTCGCCTGGCTTCACCATGGATGCCAACCTCCTTACATTCATCAGTACATGAGCTCCAATGTGATACTCCTGGATGATGATTTCGATGCTAGAGTCGCGGATTTTGGGCTCGCGAGACTGGCTGCCACTCGTGATTCGAATGATAGTTCCTTCAATGGTGACTTGGGGGAGTTCGGGTACATTCCTCCGGAGTACTCCAGCACTATGGTGCCATCGCTGAAAGGGGATGTGTACGCATTCGGGGTCGTGCTTCTTGAGCTGGTCACAGGGCAGAAGCCCTTGGATGTGAACAATGGGGATGAAGGTGGGTTCAAAGGGAACTTGGTGGATTGGGTGAACCAGCTGGTGATCAGCGGTCGTACGAAGGATTGCATCGATAAATCGCTGGTGGGGAGAGGTCACGACGACGATATGTCTCATTTCTTGAAGGTTGCTCTGAATTGCGTGGGTTCTAGGCCGAAGGATAGGCTGGCCATGTACCAAGTTTACGAGTCCTTGAAGGGGTTGGCTGAGAAACATGGGATGACGGAGCAGTACGATCACGAGTTCCCTCTGGCTTTTGGTAAGCAGGTGGTTAGTGATTGCAAAGAGTAGAAGATGATCGATCCATTGGAAAAGGAAATGGAATTCTTATTGGTTTGTGAAAATTTGTTGTCTGCATGGAGGATTCGGAGAATTTTTTTTCCAGAAGTGGATTAGAAATTTAGAATGCTGCTGCTGCTTGTGCTTCTTCCACTTAGAACAGGATAGGTGGAAAAGACCAACCAAAACCCCAGTGTGTTGTTATGTGCTCAATCATCTTGTTGGTACAAAATTTTCTGTACATTATTTCATGAAAGCAGATTATGCCCTCACCGTCACTAGTCACTGTCATCACTGTACTTCTTAGTTTTTGGTGTATGTGTATCTTAGCACTGCAGTTGCCGGAGAAAAAAGATTGGTGCTTTATAACAAACAGTCGCCGGAAAATACTACTCGGTCATCGCTTTGTCTGGGATCACAGTACTTTTTCTTCTTTTGACGAGTACATTTGCATCTACAGTTGGGGACACCATGTGTTCTAGCTTAAACATGTTCTACTGGAGTTGTTTGACCACATTCATTCTATGGGGAGAGATAGAACCCTAGGCTTGCAACAGTGCCATGTCCCTAATTTAGGATCTCTAGGGAAACAATTGGATTTGAAACAAATTGCGATCTGGCATTTGTTACATAGAAAAGTATCGATTGATTGGTGCTGATGTAAACTACGATACAAGTATCGAATTTGATCGGGAAGATTTTTTATACGAATTTTATAACTTCGATCATCATAGACGTAAAGAAAACACTAATCAGATCGCACGGAGTGGACCACCTGTTGTTACAGTATTTTATATACTGTGAGCCAAAACTGGAATCTCTCATCAATCATGTTGCGTGAGGCGGGCACTATCACCAAGTTTTGCTTGTTTGACCAAAGAAACAGTTCTGCTTCTGTTTCTCCCTCAGCTGAGTTTCAGCTGGCCCATCTCATTGGTTACTGCTAGAACTACTGTTTCTTTTTCAGCCATAGTCTCCATAACTGACATTTGATTGACCGGCCACCCACTTTTTTGTTTTTTTTTTTCTGTTAGGTTTTGCTTTTTGAGGAGTGAAGCTGGGAAGTGACGGGTAGGAATGACAATTGGTCGCGTTTTGTCAAATATTCCATGCGTTAATACGTGGAAAAAATCCGAGATAAAATTTTTTGGGCTTGGAAAACTCTAATCCAATTGCCTAATTGCCCTCCATTTACTCCTAAACACTCCTAATTTCAATTTTAATGATTTTATGTCATAAATCAATCAATTAATTAAAACAAACCCCTAAATTAATTCACAACCACTCGACAAGAAACCTTCTGTCTCTCCTATCGATTAATTGCTCAACTTGGCGATATGTGCTCCCAGCTTCTTCGCGCCGCCGACTCGAGTGGAAAGAACCGGGTGATACAGCGCGATGAGCTGGCTAGACGTGACGTCGACAAGAGAGCACACAACGGCTGTAACCATCTGCCTCTCCCCTCGATCACACATGACAGTGTTTTAATATTATAAGGGTATGTTTGTACAGAATTTAGTAAATGAGTATATTTATTAATCTGCAATAATAGAAGGGCACAAAATGCTATTAACCTTATTCAAAACTATTGATATTATCACTAGAACAAGACATTGTTTTGCATTTACATGTAATATATTCCTGTTTATTACTTATCGAGCCAAACACAAAGATAAAATTCATTCTACAACCAATATGTAACATATTGTTTGGGTATTAGGAATACATAATAATACCACATTTTATTTTTAACAATAATTTCATTTCATATGAGCTTTTTCACGAATTGTAAGCGATTTTAAAGTATATCATTTTAAACTAAATGTAACTTATATTTAAAATCGTTTTCAAAAGGAAACTACTTTACAAAAATTAATTAAAAATTATTAATGAAAATATGTGAGAAGAATTTTTTAAAAATCATTGAAAAATATTATGGAGACCAAATAGAAACGAGCTGTTATTGGGTGTATGAAGAAGGGAAAACTTAAAAATGAAAAGTAGTAAAGAAAAAGTGAGTCATCTGTAAATAATAATAAGTTACTGCTAGAAAAGATACTTATTTACAAGTGATTCAATAAGATTATTTGGAAGACATTTAATTATAAATGACTTATTTATTTCGTTAAATTATAAATTTCTTCCTAGTAAAATAGCACGCAAAATATCAGGAAAACAAGTGAACAACCACTTGGTTCCCAACGAGCTGTGAGAACCATCAGGCCCATTAACTACATCATACGCCCAAGCGGATTCAGTTGTTCGGCTTCTATTTGGGCCAGGACCAAGCCCACCAACCGAGCTTGTGAATAATATGTCGTTTAAACTTTAACAGCCTGTTTGGATACAATTCCGGAAGAAATGGAAATGGAAACGGAATTCAATTTTTTATTTTTATAGAATTCCATTTCCAATTCTGGTGTTTGGTATAATTCCTACAACTATGGAAATGAATTGCACTTTTAACCATAATGAATAATGTAATATGTTTGTTTTATTTTGGGAAATGAAATATGAATGAGAGAGAAAGAGAGTAAAATGATAGTGGGTCAACAAAATAATAAAAAGTATTGATGGGTCCCACTAATTCCATCTTCATTCTCTCAATTCAATTCCCATCACTTTTGATAGGAATTGTAATTCCCATATTTTAGACCCATTGGAATTCAATTCTCAACCTTTTTATTATTCCAAACATAATATATGGAAATGGAATTGGAAATGGAATTCCAATTCCTTACTTTTTTTGTCAATCCAAACAGGCTGTAACGGAATGAAAGAAAACCCCACATGAGGGAGCGGAACAAAACCAGAGAAAAGGAAGGCCAAAGAGTCGAAAAGATGGTTCGGAGAAATCCTTTGCTCCTACTCTCCCTTTTCTTCTTCTCCGTCAGCACCTCCATCTCTGCAGAGCTGAAAGCGTCTCCTTCGGATCACGGAACGTAAGCTTGAAATATCTGACCCATTGCTCTTCCTTCATATTTGATTTCGTCGTTTGAGCAACCTATCTGATCGATGTTCTTTCCATTTCTCTCGAGCGTTGAAGCAGCGGGAGCAATGGAGGGTTCCGTCGAAGAGTTTTACTCGGTTTCAAGGAAACGCCTAGCGGAAGTAACACAACCTTCGATTGCGCTCCTTCCGGGGCCTGCGTACCCTGCCAATACTCAGAGAAGGTTCGTTCTCTCAGTTTTGCGCTAGTCTTCCTCTGGGATTGAAATTCAGTGTCTTTACCACTGTTTGCTGTTTGATTAGACTAATTCATCGATATCTCGATTAGTTCCTTCGGATTTATGTTGAATGTGTGGAATAGGAGCTCCTGTGTCAGATCTCTTGTTATTGATTGAGATTTTGTGGCTATGTCCTTAACAAGCTTGGGGTTTTGTTTCTTTTGCTGTTTGTCCCCTAAATTTCAGCAGAGCGAGCCAAAGTACCGATGCAGTGAGACTGGGTATCGTATCCCGTTGAAATGTGTGGAGATAAAGGACGGTGTCAAACTTGAAAAACAAGGAAAATCTAAGAAGAATCGATCTGATCTGGACACGTCTGATGAAAGTAGAAATCAAGAGACTTCTTCGACTGAGGGTAGAAATTTGGCGGAGGACTCAAAGAAACAAGATGGCAGTGGATCACAGGCTTACATTACTTACAGAAGTTGTATACCGCCTGTCGATGAAGAGAAGGTTTCAGTGCTTGGTTTTGAGGTATGTGAATGTCCTTTCCGGCAGGTATTTGATGTTTACTCAACCAGACGGATAGGATGAGAATAAGTATGAGAAGGGGTTGCGATGAAGATGACCCAAATGACGCTTTGGTTAAAAAAATGTCAATGCAATGAATCAGATTCTTTGCTCTCGTGGCGCTACTTCCGAGTTAGGTGTACGATGCATTTCTCACTGGTCTTTTGCTCCTCTTTCTCAAGCCATTAGGATCTGCATAATTTTACCCGTTATTGTTCTCCCTTACATAGTTGTGGCTAGAATGCATGTGCTATCTGTCTAGAATATATAATAAGTTGGTTTTCTCAGTAGATTTTAGACCAGAGTTGTCGAATGTTTAGTGTGTGGTTCAAATGGTATGCTGAGAGCATTAGTGTCTTGAGAACCAAGTTTTAAGCTCTTCTGGGTTAAGGTGCTTAATACTCGGCCGAATGTTGTTGGATGGGATTCAGCCACACAATGTGTCTAGGAAGAGCATAGACAAATATCTCAGCAGTCGGATGATAAACATTCACTTGAGACCTGACAGTTGTTTTCATCCTTACAATTTTGGAGTCAAACCGGTAGGTGTTAGTCCAATAATCCAACTTGATATGAAGTTAGAAATTCTGATCTTTGAATCTTTGCTGCAGGGCATTGTGTTGTTCTTCATGGTTGCAAGTGGTTCATTCGTGTACTACCGGAAGAAGCAGACAGGAACTATGCCAGGTGCAGGTAGAATCCAAATGAACTCTCGGTTTTGAACCCTTGCATAGCATGTTGCGCGGTCCGTAGTATTGTAGAGTAGGAGAATTATATTATACTCCCAATCTGCCTCTTCCAGTCACTTCGATACGTTCATATTTTCACTGTATTTGGAAACTTTCCTGTATGTATTGTATCTTTGCTCTTGTAGTTGATGTTTTTCTTGCAATTGATGCTGTATTTAATTGAATCATCAGTACTTTGTAGTCACATTGAATGACGAATTTTAGCAGTTTATACAACTTCTGCTTCTCTCGTTCAGATGTGTACAATGTTGGAATTTTGGACCTCTTTGTAGTAAGTGTTGGGCTAGTATAACAAATACATTGTAAAACAAAGAATCGCATCTGAAGATCTAACTCTAACCTCTTTCTGAATCTGAAAACAACAAAATCTTCTCTTTTCTCTTAACAACACATCTACATCAATACTGACTGCATCATCAATGGTACACAAAGTGGGCAATCAAATGAGTGTTGGAGCCTGGCGGTGTGTCGGCTGTATGGACAAGAGGAAAGCAATTGGCGGGGAGGAAAGAAAGTTAATTTAAAAAGTAAATCTTCATAGCTTGATTTTTATTTATGCAAAAATAGATAGGTTGTCAACCCGCGGGTTGACCCACGGGTCGACCCAATTTGACCCTGACCCGGTGAGAAAAACGGGCCGCACGCACCCGCCGGGCCGACCGCTATTAGATACCGGGTTGGAGGTCAAATTGTGTTATTTTTTTCTTTAGTTTGCGAAATGCGCCTATTTTCCAATTTTTCTTTTCGCCTAACTCAATCTTTGGAATACTAAGTTGAACATTTGAATATTTATGTTATATAAGTGTGTGTGAATTTTCACTATATGTTAGATCTAAGTACGATATGTTATTTTGGTGTAATATTATATGTTATAACTCATATGTTAGATAAGATTTGATATAATTTATGAGGATAAGTACAATATAATGACTATTTCTATATTTCCGGGCCAAACCGGGCTAAAACGGTTGACCCATTAACCCTTGACCCACTAGCTCGACCGGGTCCGGGTCAGGGTCAACCCGCGGGTTGACAACCTTACTGGAAGGGTAATGTAGCGATTTTCTATCTCACTTCACGGCCATTAAATGGAAGTTATGACAAAAAGCTAAATTTGTTATGTTTTGATAGTAGAACTGAATGTTTGTGAAAAAAATAATTAAGGGCACATTCGCTAACTTACAATAATAGAAAGGCATAAAATGCTATTAACCCTATTACGAACAAGTAGCACACCATAGATTCATAAACATAGAATATAAATAACCTTTCATTGAATCATAGAAAGATACATAACTAAAATAGAATTCACATCCATAAACAACTTGAGCTAGCTAAACATAAGATAGAAGACATCATCAATAATGAGTAATATCGATGGTGAGGACCTCCTCATCAAATTCAAGTGCTTCGCCTCCTCTCTAGTCTCTATGGCTCTCCAACTCATGCCCTAGGAGCAGATTGCTGGTGGGTTGTTTTCATTAGTCGTAAAGTTGTTTCTAAAACCTCTAGTCTAAAACCCTATTTATACTAGTAACATGAGGGTGTTTTCAAGACTTTCCCCCCTACTAAAGTCGACTTAAACTTTCCTTGTACAACTTGGACTCTGATTCTTTTGGGGTCGAAGCAAAAAGCTTCTAGAAGCTTCAAGAACTTGAGAGCCGAGCGACGGTGGAGACCGTCCATGGGTCATTTCTAATTTTCTTCATGGGTTGGGTTGCTTGTGGGCCTAGCAACCTCTTCATGAAATTGAATCCACGACGGTTGGTGTTAAGTAGACCCATTCTGACATCGTCAAGGATAATCATGTTGTACTGGGTCTGCTTCTCTGGACCATGAAATGAGTTTCCAATCTACAAATCCTTTTTCCTTTGAGCCCACATGCTTGTAATATCATATTCCTTCTTATCCATTAATGATTCATATTCTTTTTGAGTGTATGGTATCCTTGAAAAGCACAAAACAACATCAAAAGTTGTAAAATAATACAAAGATATACTCACGGTCTATATTAAGCACATAATTCAAATAGTTACGATACTCATATGAAATCATGTAGAAATTACAAAAGATGCATTGATAGAAGGGGGAAATGTATCAAATATGAGAGTGATAAATACTATAACTGATTCAACCCAATTTATACATATTTATAACCCTTTCTCTTTGTCGTTTGACTTGTGTAACATCATCCTTGAAGTCATTTACACTTATGTTTTGTCATGTCTGAGTTTGTTTTGTGCTCTAGCAGGTGAAATTGGCAAAATGATCGAGTGTTGGACGAAAATGAGCCAAAAAGGGACGAAATGGTTGAAACAGTTCAGGATAATGGTTCACGACATTTCTTCACGGTCTCACGACTTGGAAGATTTAACCAAATAGTAAACATCAAATGATCCCAAGAAGAGCAAGACGTTTCAAGGGCATTTTCAGACCTCACGGTCTCGGGGCGTGAAGATTTCAACCAGGTCGGGAGGTGCGTTAGTGAAATAGTGCACATTCGATCGACATCACAGTTTTTCTACAAAGTTCATGACGTGACGGGCAACCGTGAGCTCTGCGCTTCTGGCTATAGAAGGGAGAAGAATCAAATTTGAAAGGAGAGGAGTTTTAGAAAGAGTAATTGGAGTTTGACTTATTCCCTCACTAGAGTGAGTGATGAACATAAAAGAGATTGGAGGAGATTTGAAGTACTAATTACCCAAGGAAACTTGATTTCATCTCCAAGAGCATCCCAACCGGCCAAGGAGGAAGATCTTCTCATCATGGTGATTGTCTTCTTATTTTTGGTTGTTTTTTTCACTCTAGCCATGGAGTAGTTCGCCAATTGACTAGGATGTTATAGAACCCTAGTTTATTATGTTGTAGTTGATTGATTGTGAACCCTATGCTTTGATTTGCACGTTGATTAATATTGATTTGTGAATTATTCATGGAATTTGAAGGTTCCTAATCACTTCCTCCCATTTGGGGCTAATTAACTAGTTGAGAGAATACATCCTTAGGCTCTATTTAGAGCATTGTCAAATCAACACTTGGGGTCTATGAATGAGTGTGATTAGATTCCTTGTGTCATATAGGATCTTTATCCAATTGTTGGAGTAGTGTTGGCTGCCTTAATTGCCTAGGTCGGTTGTTTGGTACGCCTCTCCAAATTGCGCAATTGAGCGGGATAGGACAATTGGAATTGAATGTCCTATCTATATTAGAGCTCCCCTATGCTAAGTGAAGTTTCCTCGATTGAATTCAACCTCAATTTACTTGTTAGTTAGTTTAGTTTAGTAGTTAAAACAACAATCGGATTGCTAGATAATGCTTAGTTAATCGAAGTAAGGATAGATAGACCGCCCAAGTTGATATTTTGAAATACTTGCTCTATACTACACACGGTTGAAGGTTGCACTTGACCTTTGATCGAGATAGTTGTAGTTAGGCACGAGTCAATAACATTGGAATTTTCCCATTGATACAAATCTGCCGACTGGCTTTCTCCTTCTTCTCCTGCGAAGCTCTCCTATCAAACCTCCAGTGCAGTTCTCAGTTCTCACCATTGTTGTGGCCAAAGACAATCTACAAATATATAATAGCAGAGTTGAGAGTAGTTATTTAGCGTTTAAAATTTTCTCTAATGAGAGCGAACGTAGGAAGGATAAATTTGTATTCACAGTTTTTATTTCTCATTCATAAAAAAATACACCAATCATGGGATTTGAACCTAGTCTGTTCAGACAAGAAATAAAAAATTACCAATTACACTAAATGAATCAATGTGTTCTCACAAAAAAAAAATCAATGTGCCAATTTAAACTTAAAACATATAAAAACCTAAAATCTTAAAAATTTGATGATTTAGCCAGCCCACTAAGTATTTCTTAAATGTTTGATATTTCGCTTTTCATATTTTGATTACTTTAATTCGATTTTAACAATTAATTTAACTATTACATAGACATATATATTTTAAAAAATTTAAAAATTTTAGAATAACATTATAAATATGGTATATTCAAATAATATCTCGACCAACAGATTAGACGCCAAACTAGTTCCTCGTAGCAAAAGGAGATGAAAGAGACATGAACTTATCTGTTCGGTGGGAATTGTGATACTTGGTTTATCCCCGTAAACTAGGGATGACAATGGGTCAGGTTGGGTCGGGTTTTGCCAAACCCAAACCCATTGGTTTATTCGTGGAAAAAACTCGGGGTAAAACCCACTGGGTTTGGAAAACTCAAACCCAACCCAACCCTTTGGATATCTGCGGGTTCATGGGTACCCATGAGTTTTTGTCGTAACAAATTTACAATAACAAGTTCCTATCAAAATAAAAGTCAAATATCAATCTCAATACAAATTATGCATATATACTATATAGAACACCATTTTAGAAAATTCAAGCAAATCACAAATTAACCATACAAACTGTTCAACACCAATATAGAAAACTCAAGAAAATTGAAGCAAATCACAAATTATCCATAAACAACATGATTAATTGAAAGCTTCTTCCTCCTTGTTTATTAAACTTCTTCACTCTCCACTCGATAATATCAACTTCATTTTACACAATTAGAAAGAAAAAATTAGACATGTTTCCACAAACATAAAGAAGATTAGTTGTTTAGAGTATTAAATATACCGGAAAAATTAATTATATGGGTGTGGGCGAGTACCCATGGAACGGGTGTACCTAAACCCAAACCCAACCCGATAAATAGTGAACGGGTTTATACCCGAACCCGGCCCAAAACCCATCAACATGAATTTTACCCGCGTTGACCGAATTTGATCGAATAAGGTATCCGTGGATTCGGATTTTGTTGCCATTCCTACCACAAACTAAAGACTAAACAGGTATAGGTCTTCAACTTCACTTGTCCAATCAATTGGGCACTCAATAGTAATTTTCCCATTAAGCATCAATTGTAATTGTAATTTGTAACTCCCGATTTCTTCTTCCTTCTACTTCCAATTCCCTCGCCAGCCGGCAGCCAGAGAGCTATCTCGCTCATCCTTATCGCTGTTACAGAAAACCCTCCTCACTCCGCCGTTTGCTCTCCTCCTTCTCTCCCCTTCCCACCGCAGGCCTCTCTCCTCCTCGCCTTCATCCGACTCCTCTGAAAACCCTAGCCGCCGCAAGCCTCACTCTTCCTCTCCGCAGCCGTGGTCTCCTCCTCTTCCAATCAACCGCAGTCGCCTCCGTAAGTCCCTCGATTTTGCTGAACTGATGATTGATGAGGAATGCAGTGATCTGGAGTTAATTATGCTTTCCCGACAAATTGAGAAGAGCAGGTTGTTTACCTCTATAGGACTCAAAAGAACTCAGGAAAACGGCTCCCTTTTTTTTGTCGTCTCCATCTGTTTCTGGCTTTCAGTTTCCTTTCCAAGTAGCTAAATGCATTGATTGAACTCATTTCTGTTTCTAGTTCAATTTCATACTGCAATTGTTTGATTCTGCATATAACTATTGCACTGCATCAGGTAAAGGTTTCCCAAACGGACACTGCAGCATTATCTCTGGTTTCCTACAAATGTGTCTAGGTTAGTTGGTTGCTAGTGCAACGTTGCTTGATGCTATGAAATATGTCCAGGTTCCAGGGAGGATGGTGATTAACTTAAACTATACCCATTTTATGTCTATGAAATGTGTGATTAAATTGTCAATCAGCTCTGGAACGATTATCAAGCTGAACTTTTAGTTAATACTCTTAGACTCGAACATTGTCTTTACTTGGCGTTCTTTTCCATTTCTCACGTCTCCGTTGCTTTTCTCTTCTCAATTACTTCTTATAGTTTTTTTCAACTCCCAGAGAAGGGAAGTGATGTGTCAATGAAAGTTTGATTTCTTGATTTGGAGTGTGGCCGTGTGGGAATGGGTTATACGAATAAGCCCCTTCTGATATCATTTCCGGAGGCAGATTTATTTTGGCTGCAAAGTATATACTAGAATGATTGATAGAAAAACTTAAGATTCCCAATTGTAGTCACTACACCATTGCAATTGTGGTGTAAAAGTACAGAGTATCAGTACGTACAGGGAAATCACATCTGGGATCTTTGTATTGTGATATGGGAATGGGTTATACGAATACGATTGCAATACATAGATGTATTCGTATATAATTTTCATGAATTTTGGATTGTGATCAGATGGAAGCATTTTGTGTTCAAAGTGGGGGACTTTTAACACTGGTTTTCTTTCTTTTTTTCATGGTTTGCTGGGTTTAGGTTTGGAGAACTGGTAAGATGTGGGAGGACGAGCCGAAGTGTATAAAAGATCACAACCGCCGGTTGCTGGCAGAGAAATTCGAGCTGAAGAGAAACCTGTACAAGGCTTTTATCAGAGACCCTGAACTTCCGAGCGAGCTGCGCGAGAAACTCACCGCAAAGCTCTCCAAGTTGCCAAGAAACAGCTCCTTCACTCGAATCAGGAATCGATGTGTCTTCTCTGGTCGCCCCCGTGGTGTTTACGAGTTCTTTAGAATGTCTCGTATTGTCTTCCGCACACTGGCAAATCAAGGGATGTTGAATGGTGTGAAAAAGGCTTCTTGGTGATCGAGGAGCCCAATCGCAGTACAGTTCACTCTCCTCCACCAGCTTGGGTGACACATTGGTAAAAGGATTCTACAGTTTTGTAGGAATAAATTCAGTTGGCTGACTTTCTGTAATGCTGAAATTGATTATTTTGATGACTAGCCTTTCTCCTTCACTATTTATCAGCGCAGATGTGATAGTACTTGAGAATGATTCATGATCGATTGGTGGAAGGAGCCATGCTGGTGTTCAATAATTCACTAACATGTTCAGAAAATCAATGTTAAGAAAATGAGTTATGTCAGGTTTCTATCCAACCACACTACCCTTGCAATGCAACTGAGTCTTGTAGTGTAGTAAGGAGCCATGCAGGATCCGGAATGTACCATAATTAGTTCCAAGATTTGCTCACAACAAAAGGCGTACTAGACTTAACCGGAAAAAGTTAATCTGCTAAAATACATGAACTAATATCCAAGTACTAAAGTATCTAGAGAGCACAGACTAGTATTCAAGGTTTGCTACCCGATATCCACCATGAATCAACTATTATCCCAAATCCACAAACTAATATCTAGACAACACAGATTAGTATCCATACAGTACATAATTACTATCCATATTATACATAAGATTATCCAGATAACACATAAGAGTATCCATATTGAATACTAGTTGGTTGATTGTGGATATTAGTTGATATCTGCCATCTGGATTCTAGTTTGTGATGTTTTGAATACTAGTCTCTGCTATCTAGATATTTAGTAAAATCAATAGACTTGGATACTAGTTCATACATTTTGGATATTAGTTAGTAAATACTAACAACTTATGCAGTTAGCAGAATAACTAGGCTGGACTTAACCATGGTAAAAGAAACCGGATCGTACCGGCCGGTTGAACCGGTAAAACCGGAAACCGGAGCATGGACGATACGGTAGGCTGTTTGTGGACAGAATATCGTGCCGGCCGGTTTATCCGGTTTAAACGGCACAATCCG